AAAAGATATGAAGAAAATCAGTCTCACAGACATGTAATTGGAGAAGGGGGGAGTATTTTAGTAGCCTTTCAGATAATTATGGTATTCTTTAATATTACACCAAAACTCAACGAGTGTTGGTTTCTTAAAACTTCAGTGCAGTGTGGAATCTGAAAGTAGGTCAGTGACCTTTGCACAGCCAGTTACATTAACATCCGTGGTTCGGCCTTCACCGAGAATGGGTCTCCCCTCATGCAGGATTTTGTAGCGTTACACATTATTGGTGTGATGGACCATGCAGACCTTTCAAATGTGAAATTTTCTTACACACTATCAAAATCACCTTCACTGGTATGACTAGTCAGAAAAATCTTTAAATTTGGGGAAACTTCAAGCTCGTGTTGCTACTAATTTGTGTTTGATAGCTTAGATTTTTACCATTGGCAGTACTTGATACCGTCGGCTGTTTTCTTTGAAGTGACAGGCTCACTTCATTCATTTTGAAGATGTCTGCCAGTACCCAAGTCTAAAGCTTATGTTCCATGAAAAGAGCAGCTGCTTCAACTCACAACTCAGACGGTTACACAGTATCTTTCACTAGCAGACAGGCTGCTGAGCATTTCCACAGGAGCAGGAACTCGTCCTGCTGCACGCTTCCCTGAGGGAGATGGTGGCCGCCACTTTGCTCAGGTGGCCTTCCTTTCATGCTTCTCCCTTACTGTTCCCTCAGAGTCAGGACTGTCTTCAGCTGGGTCCGCCTGCTGAAGGGGAAGTGGTTCAAGTGCGATGGACAGACGGCCAAGTCTATGGAGCCAAGTTTGTGGCCTCCCATCCTATCCAGATGTACCAGGTAACCACAGGTTTTTGCTGGGAGCTGGAGGGTACTTTGATGAATTCAGTGTTTCCTCTTGGGCCAGAGGTGCGTCTTTGCTCTTGGGAGAGCTGAGGGCTCGGTAACGACGCTTTCAGAGCTGGGGGCTGCCCTGTGTCTAGGCTGTTAGCTGTGTTCTTCAAACAGAACTCGGTCCTTCAGCGTTCTGAATTCTTCTGTGACTACAGGACATGACCATTGTGCCTGGGGGGCCAGGGACAGAGTCAGGGACATCTTAGCCAAAGGCCTTTGTTTCCTTGGTAGGTGGAGTTTGAGGACGGCTCACAGCTGGTGGTTAAGAGAGATGACGTTTACACGCTGGATGAAGAGCTTCCCAAAAGAGTCAAGTCTAGACTGGTGAGTGTGTTTCGTGGGTGTCCACGTTCCTGCCTTGGAGGGCGGGAGCCAGGCGGGGACGTGTCCCTGTGTTTTTTCTCCCGGTGGCTGGCCACAGAGCTCTCATTTGGCTTGCCTGTTCTTCCACAGTCAGTAGCTTCAGACATGCGCTTCAATGAGATTTTCACAGAGAAGGAAGTCAAACAGGAAAAGAAACGGCAGCGAGTTATCAACTCCAGGTACCGGGAAGATTACATTGAGCCTGCTCTGTACCGGGCCATCATGGAGTAGGTGCTTCCAGGAGCCTCGAGATCCCCAGCCATCGAGGCGAGCGCTCTGTGGAGGCTCCACGGCACAGCAGACACATGGAACTCTGACGACGTCTCTAACGTGAAGTTGTAAAATGCAAAGGAATGAAATAATCGACCTATCATCTTCTCACCCCACCTTTGTCGCATCTCCTCTAATGAAAGGACAAGCCGTTCTTGGACACGTGGCAGCAGCCACCGAGCCGCCAGCTGAGAGCTGAGCACTGGAGTGCTGTGGCTGCACTGCCTCCAGTGGGTGGGCTCTGCTGGCTGGACTGTTGCCCTGTCCCTGGCCTAGGACTTAGCTTCCTAACGAGCACCTGCACCGCCTAGGAAGAGGTGCTGGTGCTTCCCCTCCCCTCCCCGTTTTGTATTTATGTGTGCGTGCGTGCGTGCGTGTGTGGGTGGGCGGACCAGCTTTTGCCAGCCCCTGGCCTTTACTTTCTTCCTTGCCTATCCAGGGCAAACAAAATGTGAAATTCTGCCCTCAGCTGAGCTGAGTAAAGGGCCCCTGGGGTTGGCTGGAGATGGGTGTGGCATCTGTCCCTTGAACTGCCACAAGGGAGCTCTGGCAAAGCTGCAGTATTGAGATGCAGAGGAGTTAGTGCCACCTCTTTGTCCTCTCTTGAAGAGGATAGGAGTGACATGGGAGTGTGCCCACATCCCTCTAGGCACAGAGCCCCTGTGGCACACAGTATTAGAGTGTGTGGTGGGGAGCGTCGTCAAGGGGGGTCTTAATGATGGAAGCAGGCAGATCCTGGTGGGTGATTCTGTCAGCAGAAAATTGCAATCATGCAGGGGCTGGGAGGGATAAGATGAACTGGGGCCATTGGTGGCCAGGGGCAGGTTTGCCCCAGGTCTGGGGATGGGAGGGAGTGAATTTGGGAAGGGGGGTGGGACTGGAGGGCAACACTGAAGGGGTTAAACAGGTTTTTGCTCCTCATGAATTTGTTTGCCTGGGCCCAGGATTGGAGGGCTTCACACCTGTACCCTATGTATACAAGAATCAGATTTATAATACTTCCCTGATTTTTGTTACGTATGAACGCTATAAACCAAATTATTTTGAAAATTGGTGCATCACTTTTGTCTTTAGCAATAAAATGTGTTGAGCAAAGGATTGGTTGTGTCTGCCCCAAGGAGCCCAAGTGGCCCAGGGTCAGGCCGAGGGCATATCTAGAATCATAGGCTCTGGAACAAGGCCGTGTATTTTAAGAAGAGTCAGCCTGCAAAGATTTAGGAAGTTGTCCTAAAGAGATGGGTTTCTGGTCAAATTGTGATGCGGTGGCTCTGTATTAGGCCCAGCACAGTGGGATGGGGGAGCAGAGGCATCTCCAGCCATGAGTACCTCTTTTTGCTTCCTCTTTGAGATTAGAAGGAGGTATTAAAGGAAAGACCAGACAGCCACTCAGTCTGTAGAACTGAATTCGATCTCTTACTTCTGACCCACTTAATCGAGCTGGTCAAGTCCATCCCTGTCTTTTCCACACAAATTGTTGAACCAGCTTGCCAGGAAGGGAGTACATTTTAGGTGCTCGAAGAGCAACGGACTTGACCCCCAGAGGCATCCCAGTGGGGTCCTGAAGCTGCTCTGAGCTGTCTGTGCTTGGTGGAGAAGCTTCCTTGGTGGAAGACCTGGTCCCTGTGCCTGGGGATTTCCTGAGGTCCAGGTGGACAGGGATAGAGCAGCAACAGCAGCAGGCCAGGAGGGGCCAGTGAATAGGCGCAGGACTTAGAGACAGCAGAGCTGCCAGGCACTCTGTTTCATGGCCCTGTCCAGCTGCAGAGAGGCTATGGTCAGCTCAACAACTCAATACTTCTTTGTGTCCTGGGTCTTGGGAGGTGGCTGGTGCTTGGTGTCTGGGTGTGGGGGGGGGGTGTGGAGCTGGGAGTAGCAGGTTTCAAAGACATTTTATGCCGGCTCCCTCCTGGGGCCAAGAAAGGGGGATTTGGTTTTTTGTGCAGCACCCAGTGATTCCCAGGGAGTCATCAGGTAAGACTCGGCAGAAGCCTAAATGGATTGGTGAGCCCTGGGAGCACGCACCATTGGAGGAAAGGAACTTCTCCAGAATTGCCAGGGTCCCGCTGCCGCCACTGATCCTACTCTACCTGGAGGACCTGTGCAGCTGGGATTCTTGATCTGATCCCAGCAGAGTTCTTAACTTTTTTTTGTACTTTTTATTTTGGTCAGCCTAATAATCCTGGGAAAACCAGTTAAAGATGAAATGAGATTTTATTTAGATCGCACACAACAAGCAGTTGTCTCCCTCACTACCTGTCTAGTCGGGACAGGGCCTCAGGGGACTCACGCCAGGGAAGGGTGGGCTCGCCTGTCTTAGGCAGGCTCCTCACAGAGGACTCCTGCCAGGGCAAAATGCCCTCCTTTAGGGTAGGGTCTTTAGGTTGGCGACCAAGGATTGTAGCCTGAGAGTTCCTCTTCCCACCTGAGGAATTACGTTTTAAATTGTGCCCAGGCGTTGCCAGGGCTGCTCTGGCTTAGAAGATTGAGTACTGTCCTGCAAGCCAGAGGGTCGCGGTTTGATTCCCAGTCAGGACACATAACTGGGTTGTGGGCCAGATCCCCCGTTGGGGATTTGCGAGAGGCAGCTGATCTATGTATCTCACATCAATGTTTCTCTCTAAAAATAAATAAAATCTTTTTTTTTTTTTTAAGGATAAATTATGCCCAGGCGAATGCCTGGCCTTGGCTGAATGAAGGAGTAGGATGGGAAAGAGCTGGGTGGGACCTCCAGAGCTGCAAAAGCTAAACGGGAATGGGACGGAGCGTAGTGGTTCTAACCCCAGACAAAAATTTTTGCAAGGCTCAGAAATTGGTAATACAGAAGTACAGCCTGAGAACCCTTCCACCCTTAACTCCCATGATAGTACAGGGTCGCCCAGCCCGTGGAGGCCAAAGCCTTGGACCTCACGGAACGAACCGGCAGCACTCCTTGGCGTGGAACGCCACCCGGCCCCCCGCGCGGGCGAAGAAGCAGGCTCTGGAAAGGCTGGGGCATCCTGGCGGACAGCGAGTCCTGCGGCCATCAGACGTTGGCATCTCGGGAAGGGAAGCCAGACGTGAGGAATCCTCTAGACGTAGGATGTGCTCTTGAGAACCCAGGCCCGGGCGTCAGCGCCGAGCAGGCAGTCTGGGACCGCACGACCCCTCTGCAGCCTCGCAGAGCCTGCGGCACCGGCCCACGACGGCGGTGGGGCGGTGGGCTCGGGAAACCCGGGGCTGCGCACCGCCGCAGCCACTCCGGGGCTGTGCCCGCCCACTGGCCGTAGCGCAGCTCTGCATTGGTCATCCCGGCGCCCCGCCCGGCTCCTGCGCGTGGATTGGCCGCAGATGCCCGACTCCGGCGAGGGCGCTGAGGCGGAGAGTGGGATTGGTGGTCCCGCCGTCCCCGGTCGCGGACGCGCGCTCCGCCCGCCGCTGCGTCCTCACTATGGCGGCGCCCATGCCGCCCGCCGCGTCCTGGGAGCCCCCCGGGGTCCCCCGCGGCTGCTGTCGCCGTCTCCCACGCCGTCGCCTCGGTCTTCCCGCTCGCGTCGGGCCGGGCGCCGCCTCCCCGCTGCCTGCCTTTTTGCTGCGGTAAGAGCCGGTCCTGCGCGTGTCGGGCGCAGCAGCCGCCGCGGCTAACGGTCAGCGCGCCGCCCCTCCCCTCCCCCTCCGCCCGCGGCCCCGGGGTCTGGGCCCGGCGCGCAGCCGCGCGCGCTAGTGCTGGGGCAGGAGGTTAGGGGCGCTGACGGGTCCTCTCTTAGTACCGGCGGTGGCCGGGGTTCGGGCCGGGCCCCTGGACGACCTCGTGTCGGCAGGGGCAGGGGCTGCGAGGCCTGAGAGGAGAGGACAGCTGGCTCCGGGCCGAACGGCTGAGGTCATCTGCGTGCGAGACCCCGCGGCGCTGCGCACCAGGGCGCAGAGGACGGAGACGGTCAGCCCGGCGACCGGACACCCCCAGCGGGAATCGGCCGCGGCTGCGCAACGGTTGTCATCTCTGCACTGCCGGCCTGGTGTTTAGGGGACCGGGGTCAGTTTGATTGGCAGAGCACGCCTCTCTTGCTTCCTTAGCAGGAGGAAATATCTTAAGTCACGAGAGCGTGTTTGATCAGGGTATTGTCCCACAAATGTTTTGGATTCCTTTTCACAGTAGTGCCATTTTTATAATTCCTCGAGAAACCTTATTTCTGTTTGTTTCCCTGACCTATGAGGAAGGAGTGAAACTGAGTGGAATTGTAGTTAACTGAGAGAGGGATCAATGGAGGTAGCCATTACTTTGTTTAAAAAAAAGATACAAACTTTTCTGTGGCTATACTTTGAATGATCTGTACTAGCGATTTTCAGCCTGTAAGCCGCAAGAATATATGCAATACCTGACTCTGACCTCTTTTCCCAGATTTTTAAATAAAAAAGTGGCAATAGTCAACACAACAATAGCCAACCATAGTTGACTGTGAGTGAATCAAAATTATACCTACTTTTTTTTTTTGTCAGGCAAAAAAGTATACTCTTTAGTGTGCCGCAGAATTTTAGCGATTAGTTTATGTGTGTGACAAGATGAAAAAAGTTAAAAGTCGCTGCTCTATGTATGGTGGCTAGTTGAGCAGGGTAGTAGAAAAAAAGCTCTGACCAGGCTTCTGAAAGTAAGTCATCATGGAAAATTGGGTTATTTCTAAGTCATAACCACACTGGGCTGATGATCACTGAATCATTTGGTATACCTTCAAGGCAAAAGGATTAAAGGGCAGCTGGCACAAACATTTATGACAAAATGGTATTTTCAAATAATCTTTTAAGGTAATAGCAGCTCTTAAGATGAAAGGTTCTTAAGGACATTTTTAAGCATTAAGTGGTGAATCTCTCCATTTCACATGTTGCATGAGGAAATAAGATGTGCATATTTTTAGAAATTAATTGACTTTGAATCACCATAGTGTCTATTAAGTATATATTATGTGCAAGGCAATGCAACTGTGGGGAACTCAAGACCTGTCAGTTATAAGGCTTATTCTAATGGGCTTCTACATTAGTTGTGGGAATAAAGGGCACACTGGACATTGGTAACTAACCATATGGTCTCCAGAATTCCGAGACAGTAGGCGCAGTGACACTGCAGGAAAAGGGGTCCAGCTGAGGCATGAGTGGGTAGGCCTGGGTGAACGATGAGGAAGGAGAAATGGGGAAGTGAGAAAGTGAGGATGGTGGAGGTGGCAGGAGAGAACCCAAATGCTCGTGGTGGTCCAGGGTATGTCCTCTTGGGAGAAGCACACCATGCAGTTGCGCAAATGAGCTGGCATCACCAAGAAGTAACTTTTCCTGGGTGGTGCAGAGGATGACCAAATAATGGTATTTACCTCAGATGAAGCTGCAGCGAGGTGTTAGAAAAGTGGCACAGCAGCACTTGCCTTGCCTGGGAAGGTTTCTGATTAACCTCAGCTTTGTGGAATAACAGTCCTCTCCACTAACCAGGATTTACACGTTCAGAACCATTCTTGCCTATCTTCCCCACCACCCGCACCGGTTCGGTTGTCTGCCAGGTCTTTTGAGGCTGCCTCTGCATTATTTCTGGCATCTGCTGCTTATTGTTCCTGCTGTCATCACACTGCTGCAGGGCCTTCGACGTTCCATTCCCTTGACTTATTGCACAACCCCCCTGACATACTTTCCTTCCGTCTGTCTTGTGTACTGCTGTCCCTTTCCGATACCTCGCTTCCCCAGCCGAGACCTAGTGGTTCCCCACTGTCTGTTGAATGAAGCACAGACCAGCCTGGCATGGGCAGTATGGGTAAACTCAATTTTTTTTTTGCCTTTTTCTTAGATTTTTATTGTATTTTCCAGATCAGTGGAACTGTTTGCTATTTGTGCTTTGCTCTTTGTGCTTTGCTCTTTGTGCTCTATATCTTTGCTCATGTTGCTTTTTCTACATTAAATGACCCCTTTCAATCTTTAATCCTGGATTCTCACCCATGTTTCAGGGCCATTTGATACAGAATTTCCTTTGTGAAACTTTTTATTTTTTAAAGATTTTATTTTTTGAGAGAGGGAAACAGAGGGAGAAAAGAGAAATACTGATCCGTTGCCTCTGGCGCACCCCCCAAATGAGGATCTGGCCAGCAGCCCAGGCACACGCCCTGACCGGAAACCAAACTGGCAACCTTTTGGTCTGCAGGCCGGCATTCAGTCCACAGAGCCACACCAGCCAGGGCTTTTGTGAAACGTTTCTGTACTTGATTCCCCATCTAGACGGGACTTGTCTCTTGCTTAAACTGTTGTAACACCAGAGTCTGACTAGCCAACAGTGTTACTGTTGTAACACCAGAGTCTGACTTTTTGCCACAGTTGCCAACATAAGACTGAAGCTCTTTCAAGAGATGGAATGTCTTCATCATCTAGCAAAGTGTTTTGTACATAGTAGGTGCTTGGCAGATTGTACTTTATATTGAATATGGTTTTGAACCAGATGGCCATAAAGAAAGTCCTTTGTGCAAACAAAATATTTATGACAAAATCTGTAAATAAAGTTACTCACGTGAAAGAATTACTCACTGAGAGATCTGCTGTATTGGTTTGGACAGCCCGGGTTAACATGACACACTTGAGACTTCAGTGGCTCCGCAGAACCAAAGCTGGCTTCTCTCATCCTGCATGTCCAGCATGAGTGCACTCAGGGACCCAGGCTGATAGAAACACCCTCTTAATATGCTATTTTCATGGCCATTTTGAATGAGTGAAACATGGTGGTCAGGGGCACTGGCTTTTAACGTTTCTGTCCTAAAGCGGTGTGTGTCACTGTCACATTTCATTGGCTAAGGCATGTGACGTGGTCATGCCTAACTTCAGAAAAGCAGGGAGTTGCAGTGTTAGCATGTAAGCAAAGAGCCAGGAATGGTTTGCCAACAGCACAAATGACTGTTACATCTCTAAGTACCATAGCCCATAGAACAGAGGTCCCCACCTCCGGGCTGCAGACCAGTCCCGGTCCTGGCCTGTTAGGGTCCGGGCCTGTTGGGAACCAGGCTGCACAGCAGGAGGTGAGCTTGAGTGTAATGTGCTGGCGGCATCCAAAAACAACACCCCCTCCACCCGTCGTCCTCTGTGGAAAATTGTCTTCCATGCAACCAGTCCCTGGTGCCAGAAAGGCTGGGGACTGCTGCCATAGATTACAGGTAGCAAAATCAGATGGGCTGCTTGAGACAAACTTTGACATTAGCAAGAAATAAATAATAGCTTTAACCAGGCATGGGAGTGCAGGGAATTGGGAAGTCAGAGCTCCACCGTAAGCACTACAAGTGCCCGCAGACCAAGGCTGTGGATAAAATGGCTTCTGTTACATCCCAGCACAGTCCTTCCTGAGGGCACACTATTGTGATAAACACAGGAATGGTCCTGAGACATCCAGTAAAGTTAAATTACATTGAGGAAGGAGTGAAACTGATGTTCAATTGTAAAAAGATATTCAAGAATCCAGGAAATGTGTAATACTTGAGGTGCATTTTCACTTAAATGGTTAATATAAAAAAGGAATCTTAGTTCAACTTTATTAGTTTAACTGGGTTTAATTGAGGCTATCAGACTTTGGTAATTTGGGGAGGAGATTTCACTTGTGATGAAGAATGGAAGCATGGAGTGCGTTTGGAGCCTTGGATCAGGACATAGGCTCTGGCTTCAAGTCTTGGCTCTGCCGCTAATTGTCTAACATTGAGCGAGTGTCTTATTTATTGTTGAGCCTGAGCTTCCTTGTCAGTGAAATGTACCGGGCGGTTATGAGGGCCACATGAGTTTATGTAAGTGCTTCACACAGTGCCTGGTTCAGAGGAAGCACTCACAGTCGTGCTCACATTCATCAGCAACGGCAACAGCAGGAATTGAAAGAAACTGAGATACCAGGTAAGGAAACTGCAGGGATACAGGTAGAAGGGTTCCTCCACGGGTTTCCTACCTTTTTTCCCTTCCCTGGGTAGCGTTCTTGCCACATCTGTATTATTTTCACGTCTATCATCCTTTACTTAGTTGTGTCCATGTCTGTGTCTTCCACGGGACTGGGCGCTCTTGTCATCACACAAGTGCTCACTGAGCACGAGCTCTGTCCAGGCTCTGCTGGGTCCTGGCGTTAGGCATGATAAATATGTCCCTGGCCTCAGTGCGGTGGGACCAGAAGCCAGTAAACCAGCAGTTAGAATACACTGTAACAAGGGCTGTGCTTGTGGATTCTGTGGGATCTCCTATATTCCAGGGAAGTTCACACCTAACCTAAGTCTTAAACAATCACCAGTTATTAGCTGGGTGGATGGGGGGTTTTAAAGGCTTTTCAGACAGGAAATAATACATACAGTGACCTAGAAACACAAACAAGTGGTTGCATCCTGAAGATGCTTGAATGGCAACGGTCAGGGTATGTTTGGGATGGTGTGCAGGCTGCGAAAGTCAGATTGTGAAGGCTCTGTCTTGCAGGGGAGTAGGAGCCACTTGAGGGATTCAGAGGCAGGAAGTGACTATCAGCTTTCCCTTTTAGGAAGATCATTGCATGTGGAGGAAGCAGAGGAGCGAGTGTCCTGTTTCCCTCACCTGGGAAGTTCCAGGGTCTGCAACAGTAG